TTCCTGAGTCCCCACTGTGTGCCAGGCTCTGGGCTAGGCGCTTCCCTGGCTGCTTTCATTCAGTCCCCACAGTGACCACGAAGCAGGTCCTCTTACAACCCCCCTGTGCAGGCAGGGAAGCTGAGGCCAAGATGGGGGGCAGTCACTGAAAGCACAGGGCCTGGGGCAGGGGTGCCCAGCCAGCCGCTCGCCTCACCAGAGCTGATGTCCAGGCTCTGGCGGTCCTCCTGCAGCCTCTGGATCCGCTCCTGCAGCTCCCCCTGCAGGGTGTCGTAGAGCAGCAGCTTCTCACTCTGGAAGAGGCGGAGTGGCTCAGCCAGGCAGGCCGGGGCAGCCACTTCCGTCCCCACCTAGCGCCCAGCGCCCAGCACATTCACCTCCAGGTGCTGCTTGGCTCCCTGCAGCTCACACTCGTACTTGTTCCTGATCACGTCCAGACAGAAGCCCTTGTAAATCCCTGTGGAGGGAGGGAGAGGGAGGTCCTGCTTGGCCAGGGACCCAGGGGCCCATAAAGGGGGGCCAGGAGCACAGGTGAGGCAGAGCAGGGACGAGAGGGGAAGGGGACAGAGAGCCATGGCTTCTGGTAGGGGAACAGGGCACACACCTGCCACCTGAATGCGGATCTTGAGGCTCTGCTGCAGCCCGCCGAGAGGCTCTGTGTATTCGGGCGCCCTCTCAGCTCCCACCTCCTCCAGCCGCACCCGCAGCTGACTCAGCCGTTCCCTGAACAACCTGGGAGGTAAAAGGCAGCCGCACACCGGTGTGCTTGCGCGTCAAACACGAGCGGAGCGCCGCTCCACGCAGGCCCCAGCCAGCCCTGCCTGGCCCCAGGGTCCCTTGCTCACTTCTCCTTCAGCTCCGAGAACTGCTTCTCCAGGTCCAGCATTTCACTGACGCACTCGCTGCGGCGGCGCTCATAGCCCTCATCGTCCATCTCTGGGACGAGAGGCCAGTCAGGGCGGGTGGAGTGGGGGCGGGCGGCGCGCGGGCGTGTGGGGCTCACCTGAGCTCTCCTCCTCGGACTCGGTCTGGCTGCCGCTCCGTTCCTCCTCGCTCTCTTCCTCCTCCACATTCATCTCGGCGGCTGAGTCGCCCTCTGCTTCCATCTCCTCTGTGTCTTTGCTTGGAGGCTGGACGGGCATCTGGGCTCTGGGAGTAGGAGTGGAGCCATCACTCGCCACTGCCCACAGCTCTGAGCGGGAAAGTGGCCACTTGGGAAGTCAAACCAAGCCTCACTGCAGACGGGGACAACCAGGGGGGTGACTGGACTCGCCACACCCTGGGCACACACTGGGTGGGGCAGGTGCAAGTGGCCCTGCCTGCACATCTCCCGGAAGCCTGGGAACCACAGAAATGCCCATGTCCTTGGATGCTGCTGGTGATCCCAATCCCGGGAACAGTGGCCAAGGTGACGATCCATAAGATGGGAAAGGCCAAGGGTGGGCTCCCCACTGTCTGTGGGACTGGGCCCAAACATCTGACTGGGGCTTTCGAGGCCCTGCACAGACTGGACTTGAACTGCTGGTCCAGCTCCTTCACCCCACCTTCTAATGCTTAGTTCTCAAATATACCATGCACTTCCTACCCAGCGCCCCCCGCCCCCGCCGTGCTGCTCCTTCTGCCTATGATGCCACCCACTTCTCTTCCTGAGAACACTCCACAATGCTCATCTTCTCACCGTGCTCAAATCTTATCTCCCTCTGCTTCCTCTAAGACCTCACGTCATCAGTGCTCCCGTCTTCTGCATCCTCCACTCTCCCTCTTGACAGCTCTGTCCCATGAAACTTTAGACGCACTCAGGAATTTCCCACCATATAGAAAAAGCAGAAACACAAAACTTCACCCCACTCCACTCAATCGCCCCCCGTTTTCCACCTTTTCCAGGCCTTGCTCTTCCTACTCTCACCTCTCGCTTGTTCCAGTGTTTCTATAGCATCGCTCTCAGCTGAAACTGATCCTGCAGAGTTAAAAGATGACCTCCCTGTACCTAATGCCAATATTTTTTGGTGCTAACCTCAGGTTGACTTCTCAGCAACACTGAACACTGTTAAGCATTCCTTCATTTATTCACTCATTTAATCTTTATTGAAAATCTAATATAGGCTAGGTACCATCAGACACCATGGTAGGGAGCAGACACAAGTGTGACAGAAAGACAGTCTCTGACCTCAAGGAGTTTACAAGTTCCTGGATGAGAGAGAGGCCAAGAAGCAGATCATTACTGTGGGGTGAGAAGAGTTAAGACGAGGGGCATATGGGAGAGACAGCTAAACTGGGACCTGGAGCCTGCTGCAGTTTTGAGGGCAGAGGAAGATGGGCCAGACAGATGAGCTGAGCTGGTTGAGGGAGGGAGCATTTAACCAGAGTAAGTAGCGTGAGCAAAGACTCTGAAAGGAGAGAAGGGGCAGGGTTGGGGGCACCTGGGTCTAAGCCTCAGAGAGAAATCTGGGCTGCAGAGATCTGGTCATCACATATAGTGAGTTCTTCAGGCCTTGGGAGAGGGTGCAACCAGCAAGGCAGAATGTGTGGAGTGAGAAGGGGCTCGTGATGGAACTCCCAGGGTCACCAAAGGGGCAGATGATGCGACCCCTGCAAAACAGAAGGAGAGTAGCAAGAGATGGAGGAGGGAAAACTCAAAGCATGCAGAGAACTTCAGAATGAAGGAGACGTGACAGTGCCAAGTGCGGCCAAAAGATCACTCAAGAGGAAGAATAAATAGTCTTCTCAACAGATCATCTCTTTGTCTACTGGGGGCTTCTGGTTCACTGTGATGTGCTTGTCTGGGCACTTTTTTTGTAGTCCTTTAGTTCCGTGTAGACACCCTTCCTTATTTATGTACATGTCTATTTGCCCATTCTCATGTCTGTCTCCCCAACCAGTCTGTAAGCCTCACCAGGGCTGGGCTGCACATGCGCTTTATTCGCCTAGCACAGTACTAACTCATTTGATGACTGGAGGATTTGCAAATACAAATTAAACCAAACAAACTTTTGCAGGGCAGGGATTGCCTTTTACTTCTTGGTAGCCCCTGGCCTCTGTAGTGGTAGCAAACGTCAATTCAAGTAAATTAAATGGCCTAGCCTAGAGGACAGTTTCGAAACATTCCTCAATGATTTCACAAATGATCTGACCCTGACCTGAAAACCTCGGTTCTCCAAACCAGCCTCATCTTTCCCAATCTCAAGCCTCAGTTCCTGCATTTCCCAAACTTCGCAACTCCTCTTCAGTGTTTTGGAAGACGCAGCGGTAGGTAAGTCCTACCTTTCCGGACCAGAAAGGGTGAGGGGTTGGGGGAGGTCTCTCCAGCAGTCTGAGTCTACTGGGTGAGCTGAATTAAATCACAACCTCCCCCTCCTTACCTTGGGTATAAAAAGAGAATAATAAAGATTGCAAGCGGTAAGGGATGGAAAAGCAAATTATAAGGCACTGTGTACAGGCAGTTTATCTCTCAGAAAGTGAGCATGTCGAGAGCAGTCCTCCCCGAAAGGAAGATTCTTCCCTACCCTCGAAGAAGCCAACACAGCCCCTCTACGGCGCGCCGAGAGCCTCCCGTCCCGCTACATCTGCGTACGCGCGGGCGCGGGCGGGACAATCACTGGCTCTTCCACGGCCAGCACCGGTCCCGCGGCCCCCGGCACGCATCCGGCCGGTTAAGTCTCCGCTTCGGCCCTGGAGATTGGGCCGGCTCCGACCCACTGGCCGGAGAGGGCGAACCAGGCGCCAGGGTTGGCGTTACGCACCCGCGGGGAGTGGGGCCTCAGGCCTCACGTCCGAGACTCCCTGAGAGGTGCCGGAGGCTGCCGGTACTGGCCACCACCGCTGGGTTCCCAGAAGCGCCGAGCGAGCCTTTTCTCCTGAGGCAAGAGCCTGTCCACGCTTCCGCATGCGTCATCAGCAGGCGCCCGTCGGAGTGCTCACAATTGGACAGCTGGGGGCGAGGCATGCCGGGATACCGCGGGCCGGTTTCCATAGCAACCGACTGAAATTCACACAGGCTTTCAACAGGCAGGAAAGGCCCTCGTGCGTTCCTTGCTTTGCAGCCAGCGCGCCTCGGTCCGCAGCCACCACCCACGGCTTGAAAGGGGAGAGCACGCGACCTGCTCCCCCACCCCGCCCGGTTCAGGAGAGTAATGGAGCCAGCTTTAGGTGTGGACACTCATTTATTTACACATTGTAGTCGGTAGGCAAATTACCCAGCCCAGCCTATTCAGGGGTCCAGATCTCAGACTCCCACGCACAGAGCCTGCAGACCCATCCCTTCTCCAGGGCCCCCGAGACGGAGGCCTAAGACAACCAGGAAGTTACCCAAAAGCTAAGAACTAAATTCAACGCCTTCAACTGATTTCTTTCCAAAATGCCCATTTTGTTAAGTACTCAGACTTCTCAGCTCTGCCCCATTCATACTTTTTGCTCTCCTACGGCCCACCCACCCAAGAGTGTTAATAATAATAACAATAATAACAACAATAATAATACTGTAATAATATTAATAATACTTCACATTTGTACGAAGCTTACAGAGTGTTTTCACATGTAGCATCTCATCTGAACCTCCCAACAGTTCTGTGAGGTAGGTATTCTCACCTCCCTTTAACAGATGGGGTAACTGAGGCTCAGAGAGCGAATGGGATTTGCTCAAGGCCACACAACTAGTTAGTGGTTAAGCTAGGACTTGATCCCAGCATCCCATACTCAAGTCCAGTGTTCAAACACCACAGCTACCACTGTAAAGTGGAGTGACATTTCTTACCCCAGTCAGGCCTGAGGGGCGGCCTAAGGAGTGAGGAGGCTGAGACTTCTCAGACTAGGGGAGGGAAGGGCTCAGCAGTGACGCGGGGAGTCAGGGTACTTGGCCTTCAACTCCTGTTTGAACTGACGGTAAAGGATCTTATTGTGCTGATTTTCGGCCTCTTTCTGGGGATGGAATTTCAGAGCTTCTTTGAAGCCCTTATGAACCAGGAAACCTTCATTCAGCACCTCGAAATCGAATCCTGCCACGTGCAGCTCACAGGCCTGTGGGGGAAGAGACAGGTCAGCAAAATTTGATGACATTCCTAGGGCAGAGACTGACATCCCTGCTCGCTCCAGCATTCCTATTCCTCTGGAGGCATCCTGGATCTTCCAACCATCCAACCACCTCCTGAACTATGATCCCTCCTGCCTCATTGCCTCTTTCCCATCCAGAGCCACTCATAGCTCCCTGACCCTACCATCCATCCTGCCCCATTTCCCCTGCCCTCTCCCTTATGAGCACCTGGCTGATACGATTGAAGCCATACTGCCGAAAGCGCTCGTCGAAGTTCGGCACCTTGCCTCCGGCCACGTAGAATGGCTCCCAGGGGTCTTGCCAGGGCACCACGTAGGCAGGCCTGAGCAAGGTTTCTTCTGGCAGGTTGACCCAGCGGGAGTAGTTGGTGGGCGCCTGGCAGGGGGTGCACAGCCCATAATAGAAGGGCCGCACCTCGCCCACCTGGTAGAGCTGCAGCAGCTCGTTTTTGTTCGTGGGCATGCGGCGGGCTCGACGGATCTCGAAGGCAGGCACCACCAGCGCTGTGCCCGCCCACTGCTTGCTCTGATCCAGCATTTCTCGCAGGCCTCTCCACAGCCCCTCACTGGGCACCATGTCCACGTCGATTACCAGGGCATAGTTGGCCCCCTCACGAGCCAGATTCCTCAGCAGGTTATTGGGGTAGGAGACATTGGTGCCCAGTGCGTAATTGATCCCGGGCTGGGCCACCCTGGCTAGCTTGTCAAAGACCTCCTGGCAGGACCGCAACAGGGCAAACTCCCCTGGCTCCCGGGGGTCGGGCACGGCGGCCTCATAGCGTGAGGGGCACACAAGGTGCATGGCAACCCTGGCACGCATATCAGGGCAGTGGCTGCTCAGCGCGTAGGTCAGCACCGTGGCCAGCTGCGCCTCCTCCTTGGTGGCGGCGAACACCGACACGGATAGCGGGCCCTCCCAGCGCTCCAACAGGCCCGATAGGTGCAGCAGGTTGTCCACACTGGCGTGAGTGGCCAGGATCACATCGTTGGGGTCCATGGTGGTCTTCAGTAGGCCCCTGTAGACGCGATAGTCGCCGCTAGCGTCCAGGACGCCTCCGGAGGCCAGCGCGGTGCGGAGCTGCGCCTTGACTTGGTCCACCGACCGCGGGGACGGGGGAAAGAATTCAAAATATTGGTCTTGCTCCTCCTGCCCGTGCAGCCCGGACAGCAGCGACAGGTAGAGTAGCTGCAGCATCGCCACCAGCATCAGCGCGGCCAGCAGCAGCTGGTAGAAGGCGCACCGTATGGCGTAGGACATCTGCATGGCTCTCGGGGCTCGCGGCGCGCAGCAGAGACTACCGGGCCGCAGCCTCTGCCTGCTGCCGCAAGCCCGGATTTACCGCAGCCTGCCGAGCGCGGCCGAAGCGAGCCGAGGCGAGCCGAGCCCCTCGCGCAGCCGCGCCCGCCCGCCCGCGCCGGCCTCGGGCGCGCCAGCTCGCCCCCTGTGCGCCGGGAGGAGCTACTGCATTCTCTGCCCGCGCCGCGCGCTTTGTAAACGCTGGAAACTGCCCGCCACGGCTCCGCCGCGCCTGCTGGGCTCCCAGAGACAGGCACCCCCTCCTCCGGGTCAGTGCGCGACCTCCTGGACCAAGCGCGTCCTGAAACCCCGGCGCGCTCGTCCCCGACTTAGAGAGGGGAAATTGTGGCAGAGCTTGGCTGCAGAGTGGTGAAGGATGGCGCGGGTTCCCGCCTGTGGCAGGCGGAAAGGAACACAAAAAGCCCCTTTCTGTCCACCGTCTCTCCCTCCTCTAGGTCTCATCAGGTCTGTACTGAGGAGTGCCTGCGAGGGTGCCGGGAGGCGCGGAGATGAGAGATAAAGGAATGTGGGAAAGAATCTTGTACGTGGGACGAGGTGGCCGAGTGGTTAAGGCGATGGACTGCTAATCCATTGTGCTTTGCACGCGTGGGTTCGAATCCCATCCTCGTCGGTCGTGTTTTACAGTGGAGATGATTCTTAATTTTCACAACCCGATGTCTGGAGCAGCGGGTCGAAGAGAACTGAACAGGAGGTGGGACCCAGTTCCGTCCGGACCGGGCCTCTCTTCTGTCTTTGTTCAACATGCATTCCTGGCCGTTTCATACTCCAGGTACCCGGACCTTATGGGAGGAGGTTGGAGGTGTGCTTTTCCTTCTCCCTAGAAAGAGGGCCTGGGGTTTGGTGGCACCTAAAAACCGGAACCGGAATTCTGGCCAATGCTAAATTGGGGGCCAATATGTTTTCTGCAGGAACTAGAGAAAACCACCCTGGAGGAGCTGCTGTGTCTAAAGTACTGGAACTTGATGGTGGCAGTGGCGGTGATGCTTGATCATTTAAATTATTAATCTATTCAGTGCACTGATTCCCCTCCGCCAGCACTTCTCCCAGGGCAGAGACCTTGTTTGTATCCACACACCTGCCTCCCCAACACACACACACACACACACACACACACACACACACACACACTTAAGCAGAAGGCCTCGAATGTCTAACACCAGTCAGCGTACACAGAAGGTGCTTGATAAGTGTTTGTGGAATGATTGCTCCATGGACTCTTTCAAAGAGGCTGTGGGGAAGGGCAGGTACTTTGATATGTATTGTAGTAACTGTTCGAGAGCTGTGAATCTTGGAAAGGTGCTTTAGGACAGTCAGGGGAGGACCTGGAACGTCAGGATAAGGTGTTCCCCGGCTACTCCACACACAGTAGGGAGCCAAGGTTGTTGAGTTGAAGAGTGATCAGGAGACCTATATTCTGCGGCTCCAACTTGTGGAATCTGATGCTATCTCCAGGTAGACAATGTCAGAACTGAGTTGTGTTGTAGAGCACTTAGCTGGTGTCAGAGAATTGCTTGGTGTGGGGGAAAAAAACCCACGCATCAGAATTGATGCCAAAATTGTCTTTATAGAAATAAAACTGAATTTTGTGTATTCTTGAATCCTGCAACTTTGCTGAAGTCATTTATTAGCTCTAATAGTGTGTGTCGGTGTGTGTATTCTTTAGGATTTCCTGTATGTGTGTATCATTTGTGATTGTGGATAATTTTCCTTCTTCCTTTCCAATTTGGATGCCTCTTATTTCTCTTTCTTGCCCAGTTGCTCTGGCTAGAATGTCCAGTACAAAGTTGAATAGATGAAATGGTGAAAGCAGGCAGTCTTGTCTTTTTCCTGATCTTAGGGGGAAGACTTCAGTCTTTCACCATTAAGCATGAAATTGGTTGTGGATTTTTCATAAACACTCTTTATCAGGTTGAGGAAGTTCTTATTTATTCCTTGTTTGTTGAGTGTTTTTATCTTGAGAGGATGTTGGATTTTGTCAGATGCTTCTACCTCAGTTGAGGTGATCATGTGGTTTTTCCCCTTCATTTCATATTTGGTGTATTACAATGATTGATTTTTGTAGGTTGAAACACCTTGCATTCTAGAGTAAATCCCACTTGGTCATGGTGTATAATTCTTTTAATATGTTGCTGGGTTCAGTCTGCTAGTATTTTGTTGAGGAATTTTACATCTATATTCCTAAGGGATATTAGTTTGTAGTTTTCTTTTCTTGTGATGTCTTTATCTAGCTTTGGCATCAGGGTAACGCTGATCACACAGAATGACTTAGGAAGTGTTCCCTCCTCTTGTATTTTTTTGAAGAGTTTGAGGACTGGTGTTAATCCTTTAAATGATTGGTAGAATTTGCCTGGGAAGTCATCTGGTCCTGGAGTTTCCTGGGAGGTTTTTGATTACTGATTCAATCTCATTCCTTGTTATAGATATGTATGTCCATATTTTCTATTTCTTCTTGAGTTACTTTTGGT